TATTTTAAATTGTTTCATATTTTGTCATGTTGGTGCCTTCAAAAGCTGACTATATGGTATAATTGGCTCATTGTTGAAGACTGTGCGTTGACCTATAGCTTAATTCAACATCATTTGGGCTCTGATGGATAGCGGTTTCAATGGCAATCATACCACATCTTCCTATTATATATACATTGTACACATTAGGTACTAAATGTAAATTAAGAATAATCGTAATGGTAACCACCGAGTACAGTGGAATTTCAACCTTATTAGTTTTTACAAACGGGGAAATTTGATCGGTTGGACAATTACAAACATAGGATTGGATATTGTGACGCTTGACTAAAGCGATATTTTAATAATTTTTAGCTACGATAATACAGTTTTTACACACATGCTTTATCTCCCACAGTCGTACCACTGCTGCCCTCTTACACACAAAACGGCAAATTGAATAGTTATAACATGAGATAAGGTTTAAACGAGAGTAAGACAGCAACCCAACGACACAAATCAGGAAAAGACAGTTAAAGGGAAAGCTATAGTATTCAACAATGGACAAGTGTCAATACAATACGATAAGCTTTAGATACTAAGTAGTCACCATTTTAAAACAGTTATTTATAAAGTAAACAGAAACTATTAAAGATCTTCCTTCAACAATAACTTCCTAAAATAACACAATACATCAAGATTTTACATACGACGACAAATGCCGATGTTCCAGACTTGAGACAGACAAAGGAATGTGTGGCGATGTAAATCTAATTATATAAAATCCCAAGCTTTTCCCTTTTAATCACAATCAGTGGAGTAACAAAATGTAAATATTAAAGACATTTATACCTATGAAATAAGACTGTATCAATAAATGCTTGCAGTTATTTAGAACAAGCTCAAAGTACCCGACCTGTTAATCTGAAATCCCTTTAATACCGATTGTATGCATGGAGACCTTTTGTATACTATAAGCAAAAGTTCTTAAAGTTCTCTCTGTTTTCATTCTGATTCGCTTTAATTCATCTTTCAATACGAGAGCAAAGTGAAAGAATGCACATTTTATTCCAGGATTTATTGCCGTTTCTACTACTCATGATCAATTAATCAAGAAAATCAGGCATGGTTTTTACAAGATTGTTGAATACAACGATGACACGAGTAAAGCACACTGTTTAATTATCTTCTTGTGATATGCTTTTTTAGGTTATTATCATTGGATTGGTTTAACAGATGTACAGGAAGGAGATTTCAGATGGACATACGATCAATCAACACTATCGTATAAAAACTTTAAAAGTGGCCATCCAAAAACTGCCTCCTCAGATGGATATAAGCGTAACTGTGTTTTGTTCCATCCTTCAAATGGTTTGTGGAATGATAATCCTTGCAGTGGTGGTGCGCCCTACATTTGTGAAAGTAACTTTTGTAAGTAGCGTTTTTGATTCATTCAAAATATATAAGAGGTCTTTAAAATCGGGTACAGGTAAAATCAATTCAGTAATCTATTCAGGTAGCAAGTTATGGCAAAAGATGCAGAATACTGAACAAAATACGTATTTTGCAATATACCAAACATTTACATTTACATTTTTTATTCTTAGGATTATAGGTATTCAAATTAGTTTGATGTCGACAGTGGAAGCAAGACACATTATTTGAACAAAAATAAAATCGACCAAGGTATTGACTTGATGCTTTGTCCACAAACCTTTTTTTTTTTTACAGCAAATTGCTATCTTTTCAAAATTAAATCTGGGACGGATCCAAGCTTTTTGAAAGAGGGGGTGGGGCGTAGTTGCGTAAAATGGTAAATTTGTTTGGACGATTTTAAGCTAAAAAAATTATATAAATTCCAACCAAGTGATACTCCATCAACCCCCCACCCCCACCCACACACACACACACCTTTGGATCCGCCACTGATAATTCAGTAATGTTATTCTATTACTGTTAAGTCAAACTAAACATTTTTAATAACATAACATATGTCTTTCTATGAGAATGGGTTTTCCTAATTTTTATAGATGACTGCGTCATACCAACAATACCAAGTTTGACAAAATACAAACATGAAGAATGACTTTGCGCAATGGTCATTTTATTGACTACATACTTTATGTTAACATCCATTTCATGAATTCTTAGCCAAAAAAATGCAACTTTAGTGCATGAAAAATTACGAGTCTAAAAACCACATTGTTTTACCAGAATTATACTACAAAAATCAAAATTGAATATTCAAATAAACTTTTCTTTTAACACAACGCCAGATTCTTTCAAACATTTCCATAGCGAAATCTAAATTTTAACATTTAAAGAGGTAAATGAAAGATTTTTAAATATGTTTTCTCTATTTTGTTCAGATATGTTTCTTTTTTTATTTCAGGCTTCTAATGAAAATATGAATACCGGAACAATACCGATCCTGACGAATACGGAATAGACCTATTGAAAGTCATAGTATTAAAATTCTTATGCAATTGATTATAAGATCATCGTCCTTTTATGTCACCAAATTATTCTTTTTGGGCCAGGATGGTCAAAACCGGCTAATAGTATGGGGATATCGGGCTGGCATGCAGGCGGGGAAAATTGGGTATCTAATTTACGTAATCAACTCCTCCTACAGTTTAAAAGCTAGATCATTGAAACTTCACAAGTAGATTGCACATATGTTGGAATTGTGCATCTAGTATTATGGAATTGTTTTCGGAATATTTACAAGATTTTCCAGACTTGGGAGCTTCATCTTTTTCAGCAAAATTGAAGAAAGAGGCTAGGGTACAAGCTTTGTGTAATCAACTTCTTCTAGTTTTCCACCCAAATCCCTGAACTTCACAGGACGATTGCACATAATTCTGTTGAAGTTGTGCATCTACTTTTATTGAATGATTTGAGGAATTGTTTCTCATTTTATCAGACTTGGGAACTCAGTTATTTCTATGCAAAATTTACGAAAGAGGGTACAAGTTTTCTATTTATCCTACAGTTTTCAACTTAGGTCCCTAAGACTTCACAGAAAGAGTGTACACATATTGAAGTTGTGCACCTGCCACTTTGGAACTGTGTGAAGAATTGTTTTCACATTTTTTCAGACTTTATAGCAACTTAGTTATTTTACTGCTGTTCTTCATTATTTTATATTATTTCAGAAAAATTCTTCCCCTTCGTGTACTTGCAACTAAATACATCGTAATCATTTAATATAAAAATAAGAAGATGTGGTATGATTGCCAATGAGACAACTATCCAACTATCAAAGTTCAAATGAAGTGGATGTTAGCAATTGTAGGCAACCATACGGCCTTCAACAATGAGAAAACCCAATACCGTATGGTCGGCTATAAAAGGCCCAGACATGAAAAATATGAAACAATTCAATTGAGAAAACGAACGGCCTAATTTATAACAGTTTACGAAAAACAAATATGACAGACATGAACCAACGACTCCCACTAACCTGAGACAGTGGTGTAACAGTGCAACATATTAACAAACTATAAAAATCAGTTGAAAAAGGCTTAACTCATCAGATGGATACAAATAGAAATACATCTAACAAAAACACAAAGGGGACGTGGACAGGTACTTATACATCCCAAAAACAAAAAGACACTAAGTACAGATCTGAGAGTACTCGCAGTTGCTGACAGCTAGTTCAAAGCCAATAACAACTAATGAAAACATTCATGTATCTAAGACTAAAATATCAATCAGTACACATCCAGCATCCAATGGATTTAGTGTAAACATTGCTTTGTCAACAAATCACAACCCGGCCATTTGAGACTTCGACCAATCTCTTTGATATGTACAAACAACCCTCGTTAATTCTGGTATTAATATTTATAGACAGAAAGGAGAAATATTACACAAAACACCATAGAGAGCAACCGTATTCAATAGATCAGTAATTCGCGTTTAGCAAGAATAGTCATCGTTACGATTTTAATATTTCGAAACTTTGAATTGAAGTAGTTGTTCTGTAGAATGAATTTCAGTCCTTCAATTAGGATTTTTTTGTTTATTGTCTGGAAGTTCATCGGGACATTTTTCAAGCCAAAATTTTAAAGCGCCTATTCCATAATCATGCGGTATATTAGTATATGAATTAATTCCGTCAGATTATACTACTAGTATTATAGTTTCTTCACATACAAAATTGGGTAAATGATTTAACATATCTAGGTCATCTCTTATAAAGCTATGTATATGTTTTAAATATGGCTTTAATAATTTATCTATACATTTGCTCAAACGGTGGGTCTCACAGGCTGGACCGGCAACGATAGGTCTAAGTTACTTTTAAGTCATTCGGACACATAACACTTATGTAGGGAGATGATGAATCTTTGCATGCCTCACTACAAATTTAAATGAATATCGTCAATAACATAGAAAACTTGGAAAATTCGTTTATTCTTAAGACACTAGTATCCAATTATGTATCCTTGGGGGACTTTTATATGTTAAGGACACAAATAAACATACTAGCATTGCAAGTTATAATCACAGAATTTGACAAAACTGTTCTAACCGCGACAAACCATTTTTCTAAACATGCTTTACAGTCCCATAAAACAATGGGGATTTTACGTAATAAAATACCAGTGACAAAGGCGTTTGTATTATATTCAATCTGACTCTTTAATCAAATAAGAGTCATACCAACTGGCAAATATTTTATTTGGTAACGATGTCTAAAATGGCGACCTTGAAAAGTTTGTTTATTTTTTTTCAAAACCATGTGTTACAAAAATTGAACAGATCACAAGTTCAAAAAGTGAAATGTTTACGGACGACGGACGCCAAATGTAATACATCCGATATGAAATCTTTCTATCATATGCCTCAACAGAGGAGAACAACAACAGTATAATATATTTTTATGTTCACGATCAAACAAATCAATAAAACAAAATGAACACTGTTTGGAAAAGTCAACATTTGTAATTAAAAAGTAACTTGCTAAATTATGCTGGAAACTTTGAACAATGCATTTACTGTATCTGTTCTGTCTCCGGAATTCCGGAATTAATGTTCCATATTTGACTCTATTTTTTGTAACATCACATCACTTCCTGCTTTGTTTTGAAAACATTGTGACAATAATTTCATGTTCTTTCCTCACTGTCTCGTAACGTGGTAAGTTTTTTATATTGATAATATTGTCAAACATATTTTATTCTACCCCCGTTAATGTTTTTTATTTGATATTCCTTTTGTAAAGATAATTTTTGAGATACAAGTTGTGTATGAAACTCCCGGTTAAATTTTAAATCTATGGAACGCCATTCGTGACATTTATGTATTCGTCACTACTTGTAGTATGTATGGCACGCCATTTGGGACATTTTTGATTAATATTTTATTTTTGTCATTTTCATTGTATTTTTGAGCAGAGAAACATTTTATGAATGCTTTTATGATGTTTTGATCATATTGTAAAGGTTGTTTATTTTTTCTTTTCAGTTTTTACCTTATACTAGAATGATGCACTACGCACCCATTTGATGTCTTTTCGGTGCCTTATATGAATAAAGTTGTGCAATTAAAATTCTTGTTGGTTATCTGGTTGTTTATCCTAGAAACAGCACAGTAAAAAAACGAGACAATGGATTCACAACATGGGAATGGTGATAACACGGATCCAAGAAAACGCACTCTCACGGAACGTGGACTTGACCTTTATAGAGCTAACGTGAATACTCATTCAAAGAAGATTGAACTCGTACAAACTGAAGTAGAACTTTGCCTTGAGAGATTCTCTACGACAAAACAAGAAGACACCAACACATTGATAGAATTAAAGAAAACTTTAAATTTGTGTTACTGTAAATACAGTCTATATTCAGATGAATATATGAAATTTCTTAAGAACACTAAGACAGAGGAAAGTCTCCAAGTGTATGAGGAGCACAAAATCGAGGATTCGAAGTACAAAAACATTTTAGAACGAGCACTTCAACAAATAAAAGTGTCAGACAAGGACGAAAAAGCATCTAAATTATCACATAGATCCCAAGCACAGTCTAGAACTTCTTCAAACTCAAGCTCTGTAGCAATCAGAAAGCGTGCAAAGGCAGAAGCAGCCCAGGCTAAGCTTGAATTCGCCATGAAAGAGGCAGATTTACAGAAACAGAAGGCACACATAGAAGAACAAGAAAAAGTTTCAAATGCAAAGGCATTTACTAAAAAGGCTGAGTTGGAAGCTGAATTAGAATTGCTGAATTATAAGAAGGAAGCGGCTGCCGCTACTGCAGAGGCAGATGCGCTTGAATATGACCAAAATGTTTGCGGTAGTAAAAAATCTGATCTTCTTCTATCAAAAACTGTTTATGAACGAACTAATCAATATGTAGAACAGCAGGTACTTCAAGTAAAAGATGTAAAATTACCGCCAGACGATAATATTGTACCATGCGATCCATTTGCAAATCAGACATCAGGCGATGCAGTCCATGAACATTCACTTATGCCAACACCAAAACCGTCTCGCCCAAAATATGATGTGCCAAGTGTAAGTGTCGGTTGTAATGATAACGATATAAATATACAAGTTCAAGAACATGCATTGAATCCTAATGCACCTCAATTTCAACCTGACATACGCACACATCAGAACGCACCTCAAATTCAACCTGACATAAGCACACATCAGAACGCACCTCAATTTCATCCTGATATAAGCACACATCAGAATATTGCTACAGATCTCACACGATTCCTTCTAAAGAAAGATTTGCTATTATCAAGATTAACAACTTACAGTGATAGACCTGAAATGTACGCTGTATGGAAGGCTAGTTTCAAAAACATATTAAGTGAACTTTCTGTTACAGCGATGGAAGAGTTAGATCTTATGGTGAAATGGTTAGGTCCTGAATCTACACGGCATGCAAACAGTATTAGAGCATCAAATATTCATGATCCAACGAAAGGATTACAACGTTTATGGGAACGCTTAGATGAACGTTACGGTTCTCCAGAGTCAGTTGAAGCGTCATTAATGGCCAAATTAAATAATTTCCCGAAATTGACACAGAAAGACAACAAAAAGCTATATGAGTTAGTAGACATTCTTTCTGAAATAGAATCCATTAAGGAAGATGTCAAATATAATTCACTGTTAGCGTACTTTGACTCCTCGTCCGGAGTTCTCCCTATACTGAATAAACTTCCGTACAACATACAAGAAAAATGGACAAATAGAGCATCTCAGTATAAAAGAGAAAAACAAGTTACCTTTCCACCATTTACATTTTTTGTGAAGTTTATTCGAGAATTGAGCCAGATAAGAAACGACCCCAGTTTCGCGTATGATCAGACAAACCAACCTAAAAAAGCATACACAGCTGCCAAACCACCAGCATATAAGACAGCTATTTCAGTTCACAAAACGGATGTTTCTAGTGACCTTGATTTACAAAAACAATGTTTGTTACATAAAACCGGACATTCGTTAAACCAGTGTAGAGCATTCAAAGCAAAACCTTTCCAAGTACGTAAAAAGTTTATCAATGATCATAAAATTTGTTACGGTTGTTGTGAATCGACAAAACATGTGAAACGAACATGTACTAACGCAATTAGATGTAGTGAATGTGGCAGTGACCGCCATCCTGGAGCATTACATATTAATCGCTCTATCGACTCGATAGATCAGAATAATAATAAATCAAGTTCGCCTGTCCACGGCGGGGAGGAAAAAATAGATATTCAAAATGACAATGTTGCAACTAAGTGCACAGAAATTTGTGGGACATCATTCCATGGAAGGTCATGCGCAAAAATCTTGCCAGTGAGAGTTTTTAGACCTGGACAACATGGACGATATGATAACTTGAAACTTTACATCATATTAGACGACCAGAGTAATCGCTCATTGGCATCACCATTATTTTTCGACACATTTGGAGTGCATGGTACATTGGAAGAATATATGTTATCTTCATGCTCAGGTCGTGTGAAAATGTCAGGACGTAGAGCCAGTGGCTTTGTAGTTGAGTCATTAGATGGACAGGTTCAGTTGGAATTACCAACGTTAATAGAATGTAGTGATCTACCGCATAACAGAGAGGAAATACCCACACCGGATATTGCTATCAGACATAACCATTTGAAAGAAATGGCAGATCACTTGTCTCCACTGGACCCAGATTGTGAAATTATGCTTCTCATTGGAAGAGACATGACAGAAGCACATCATGTTTTAGAAAAAATTGTTGGACCTCGAAATGCTCCGTTAGCACAAAAACTTCCTCTAGGCTGGGTAGTTATAGGAAACATGTGCTTAGGCGGAATACATGCTCCTGATGATGTTACTGCATATCTGACACATCTTGCACCAGATGGTCGAGCTTCGATCCTTCAACCTTGTCCTTACAATTATGACGTTCATGAGTGTTTTGGCTGCGGTAGTGTTAACTTTGGAGTCTCTCAAAAGAAAGACGATACAATTACAAGTGCAATTTTCGAACGCACTGTACAAGACGACAAACCTGGATTATCTATAGAAGATAGACAATTTTTGACATTAATGCAAACTAATCTCCAGAAGGACAAAGATGGTAACTGGTGTTCACCTTTACCTTTCCGCACTCCAAGACGACGTCTTCCAAACAACAGAGCAATGGTTTTGCATCGTGCTAAGTCATTGGAGAAAAGTTTTCATAGAGATACAGTAAAACAAGAACACATATTTACATTTATGCAGAAACTTTTTGACTGTAAACACGCAGAGTTGGCTCCTCCTCTAAAGAATAATGAAGAATGTTGGTACCTACCTGTGTTCGGGGTCTACCATCCCAAAAAACCAGACAAAGTAAGATGTGTGTTCGACTCTTCTGCGAGTTATGACAATGTTTCTCTAAACAGTGTGATGCTCAGGGGACCTGATCTTACAAATAATTTGGTTGGCGTTCTCGTACGGTTTCGAAAAGAAATAGTTGGTATTATGGCAGACATTCAACAGATGTTTTATTCATTCTCTGTAATCGAGGAACATAGGAATTATTTGCGATTTCTGTGGTATGAGGACAACAACATCAAGAAAAAATTAACAGAGTATCGCATGAGAGTACATGCATTTGGTAACAGTCCCTCTCCGGCTATTGCGACATATGCACTCCAGAAAACAGCAGAGATTGCTCAGCAAACTTACGGAAAGGATGTTCAGGAATTTGTCTGCCGAAATTTCTATGTGGATGATGCCCTCACATTAGTCTGCAATGAGAGTGAAGCAATTGACTTGTTAAATAGAACTACAGAAGCTCTCAAGACATTTGGAAACTTGCGTCTACATAAGTTCTCATCAAACAGCAGCGTAGTAAGGGCTGCGCTAAATCCTAATGATCTTGCTGAAAACTTGGAGAAGCGAAATCTGGATACGGACGATTTGCCATTACAAAGAAGCCTTGGTCTGTATTGGGACTTGCAGTCGGACACCTTTACTTTCAGAGTTTCGGACAGTGAAAAAGTGTTTACACGTAGGGGCGTCCTCTCAACGATCAATAGTATTTTGATCCCCTTGGTTTTATTTCGCCAGTGACTATTCAGGGTAAAATTGTACTCCGGAAGCTCATGACTGAATCAGTGAATTGGGATGAGCCGCTATCAGAAGAGTATCGACAAGAATGGGAAACATGGCGAACTTCTTTGACACACCTTGAAAATGTGAAGATCGGTAGAATGTATACGCCAATTTCAATTCGAGATGCTTCAAAAGTTGAATTGCATACATTTTCAGATGCATCTGAGAAAGCGATTGCAGCAGTGTCATATTTAAAAGTTTTTCACCATGACGGATCTTCCCATCTAGGTTTTGTGTTAGGAAAAACGAAGTTAGCGCCGATGAGTGGAAATACTATACCTAGATTGGAGTTATGCGCCGCTGTTATGGCAGTTGAAATAGCAGAATTCGTAACTGACAATTTAGACCGAAAGATTGACACCGTTAAGTTCTACAGTGACAGTAGAGTTGTATTAGGTTACGTAACAAACCAAACGAGAAGATTTTATACGTATGTGGCTAATCGAGTACAGCGTATCCGAAAGAGCTCCTCTCCGGAGCAATGGAATTTTGTACCGACACAACTAAATCCAGCTGATCAAGGTACAAGGAGTATTGCGGCAGATAAAGTAAACAGTAGTCTGTGGATTCTCGGTCCCGAAGAATTCATCTCTAAATGTGAACATCAAGCAGCATGTTCAGAAACTTTATATCCGTTGATTGAGCCTACTGATGACAAGGAATTGCGTCCATTGCAGCGGGTTAATGTTTTAAAAACATCTGTTGATTTTCAAACGGCTCTTGGATCGGAGCGCTTTGAGAGATTTTCAGAGTGGATAAGATTAGTAGAATCTATATCATTCTTAAAAAAAGTTGCCAAGTATCGTACGGCAGCAGTGACTGGGGACACAAGGTCTAAGTATGTTGAAACTTATAAAGAAGCTGAATTATTTATTATTAAAGTGGTTCAAAATGAATTTTACCAAACAGAAATTGATAACATTAGACAAAATTTGCGTCTTCCCAAGAATAGTACTCTTGTGTCATTAAATCCATTTCTTGATTCACGTGGTGTTCTGTGTGTTGGCAGAAGATTGAACAAGGCAAATATTGAACTGCATGAGAAAAACCCTATCATTATCCCGGGTAAGCATTACATTGCCAAGTTACTCATACGGCATTTTCATGAAACTGTTTGTCACCAGGGACGCCATTTTACCGAAGGAGCCATCAGAAAGGCAGGTTTTTGGATAACCGGAGTGAAGCGTTTAATACAGTCATTCATTCATTCTTGCGTTAAATGTAGAAAATTGAGAGGTGTAGTTGAATTTCAGAAGATGTCTGATCTACCATCCGATCGACTTGAACCTGGTCCACCTTTTTCTAATGTTGGTATCGATGCCTTTGGTCCTTGGAATGTAGTGACTCGAAAAACCCGTGGAGGCAGCGCACAGTCTAAGCGGTGGGCAATATTATTTACTTGTCTCACAACTCGTGCAGTACAGATCGAATTGGTAGAAGAGATGTCGTCCTCGGCATTCATAAATGCTCTTAGAAGATTTGTGGCGATTCGTGGGAAAGTGAAAGTGTTTAGATCAGATCGCGGAACAAACTTTGTTGGTTCAACAGAAAATTTGAAAATTGATACAGTCAACGTAGAAAATGGTCCAGTAAGAGACTTCATATATAAATCAGGCACAGTGTGGATTTTTAACCCTCCTCACTCCTCTCACATGGGAGGAGTGTGGGAGAGGATGATAGGAATTTCTCGCCGGATATTAGACTCTATGCTGTCATCAGTGAATGGAAAAAATCTTACGCATGATGTTCTTGTGACCTTTATGGCAGAAGTTTCTGCGATTATAAATAACAGACCTCTTGTTCCGATATCTTCAAACCCCGACTCACCGATTATTCTGTCTCCATCAACACTTCTTACACAGAAAACATGTGATACTGACACAATTTATACGCTAGATGACTTTAATTTGAAAGATCTATATAAAGCGGAATGGAGAAGAGTTCAAATGTTATCTAATATGTTTTGGGTTAGATGGCGAGAAGAATATATTCAAACACTTCAGACTAGGCGGAAATGGCAGGAAAATAGACCTAATATTCGAAAAGGTGATGTCGTTCTGTTAAGAGACAACGCTGTGTGTAGAAATCAGTGGCCACATGGATTAGTGGAAGAATCTTTAATCAGTTCTGATGGTATTGTCCGCAAAGTCCGTGTGCGCATAATCAGAGAAGGAAAACCGGTTGTATATACCCGTCCAGTCACAGAACTTGTACTATTAGTCTCAGAGTAAAACACTTGTTATTGACTTATGTTAATTGATTGATAGTCATGACAAAAATGAACAATTGGGTATTTTTGATGACCTTTGATATTGTAATGTATATATGTTATTTTTTGAAAATCATAAGTTCAGTTATATAATGATATTTGGTATCGGTAGTCCAAGATGAAGTTTTTGAATAAATGTACAAGGTATATTTTTTATTCAACAGATGATTAGAAAATGTTGTGTTTGTTGTTTTTACAAAGAGTGATATCTGTGTATATCAGACGGGGAGTGTTCTGTCTCCGGAATTCCGGAATTAATGTTCCATATTTGACTCTATTTTTTGTAACATCACATCACTTCCTGCTTTGTTTTGAAAACATTGTGACAATAATTTCATGTTCTTTCCTCACTGTCTCGTAACGTGGTAAGTTTTTTATATTGATAATATTGTCAAACATATTTTATTCTACCCCCGTTAATGTTTTTTATTTGATATTCCTTTTGTAAAGATAATTTTTGAGATACAAGTTGTGTATGAAACTCCCGGTTAAATTTTAAATCTATGGAACGCCATTCGTGACATTTATGTATTCGTCACTACTTGTAGTATGTATGGCACGCCATTTTGGGACATTTTTGATTAATATTTTATTTTTGTCATTTTCATTGTATTTTTGAGCAGAGAAACATTTTATGAATGCTTTTATGATGTTTTGATCATATTGTAAAGGTTGTTTATTTTTTCTTTTCAGTTTTTACCTTATACTAGAATGATGCACTACGCACCCATTTGATGTCTTTTCGGTGCCTTATATGAATAAAGTTGTGCAATTAAAATTCTTGTTGGTTATCTGGTTGTTTATCCTAGAAACAGCACAGTATCATTTGTTTTGTATTTTACATAATATATCTTCCTGTTTCCTAATATTTGTTGTGTACCCTACTTTGTTATGTTTTTCACTGAAAACGTACCATTGAGATGTATTTTCCGGAATTTGCCGAGTAACTCCGGAATGCCATGCGATAACTTTACGGAAAGGCATGCGATAATAGCCGGAAGCAGTTGATAAATTTTTCATATCAGCACGCTAAGCTCCATTTCGGAAAATATGGAATTCGAGTAAATTTAAAGCTATTATGATACGGTAAAAATTATAAGTTATTTACTCTTAAGTACATGATAAATATCTAACATTGTTGGGTTGATGTTTAGACGCGTTATAAATATATATATATATATATATATATATATATACAAGTCTAAATTGAAAACAACGTTCAAACCTATGATTGCGTTGGATAAAAACCGCAATTTTTATACGTGTGCGTGCAAAACAAATTTCTTTGGTAGAGGGGTCTAAATACAGCACAAACAACATTTTCCAAAAGACAAAAAAGTGAAAAAAAAGTATATTTTACCAAAACGCATTTCACTAGCAGGTCGAACAACGGATGTTCTTAAACCCTGCTGACTGCCATTGGCCATTGCCAAATAAACGTATCACCAGATGTAACAAAATGGATCTTAACTATTAATTTAATACTAAACAGAAAACAATAAACTTGCGGAAAAGATGGTATACCGCAAACAAAAGGTGCAAAAATTAGTACACCATATCCGGATTTCGACAATTAATGTCTCTTCAGTGATGTAAGGAATCGAAACGGTATGTGGAAGCTAGGCCATATAATTTACCTCAATCTAGGATAGACTCTTGAATTTTGAAGAGTCGAAATAGGATGAACGGATCATATAAAACCCAAAGGCAAATACACTATCAATTTGAAACTAAACAGAAAACAATAAACTTGCGGAAAAGATGGTAAACTGCAAACAAAAGGTGTACAAATCAGTACACCATATCCAGATTTCGACATATATATATTTATAACTACTCCAAATAACAGCACAACAATATTAAATCTGCCAAATTTTTGTTCTTCCCTCGTATATACCGAGTATACAACACCAGTTTTTTGAGGGTTTAATAACTACCTTTGTTGGACCTGCTAGTCAAAGTTGTTTGTGCTGTATTTAGACCCCTCTACCAAGAAATTTGTTTTGCATGCACACGTATAAAAATTGCGGTTTTTATACAACGCAATCATAGGTTTGAACGTTGTTTTCAATTTAGACTTGTATATTTATATATATTAGTATAATAGTCCCAGATTGAAATAACGTCTGCTTCTTGCATTGACAAGAAATGAGAGAGAGTGAGAGAGAAAAAAAAAGAGAGAGAGAGAGAGAGAGAGAGAGAGAGAGAGAGAGAGAGAGAAATTATCAAACAGGATACGGAATGACCTTTCCAATACCAGAATGATACAGATACCAGACTGTGAACTAGCAACCCTTATTAATAACGAAAATTAGATACCGGGTATACAACACCAACTAGCTGTTTCTGCTGAATAAGGTGTAGGTGCGGCGAGACACATGCATGAACAATAAGAATGTCATTGGTATAGTAATGCTATTCAACACCAAAAGGTGTAGAAAACATGGAACATCCTATTTTTATTCTTAAGACACTAATATTCAACTAGTGTTTCTGCTGAATAGGTGTAGAAAGCGGTGAGACACATGCGTGAACAATAAGAATGTCATTGGTATATGCATTGTAATGCTATTTAACAACAAAAACGATTACAATATTGCCACGAGTGGATTTTCATACAAAATAATGACAATATTTGACTTGCATAACTTGACGCTGAGTGTATCAAATGTAAGTTTGACAGCACTGTATTTATTGTTCAACAGATCATTCAACTGTATCGACGTTGGTAGTGTTTCCAGCTATCAATTTTAGGTCCCGTCTTTATACAACCACACTGACACATGCAAGTCTGATTGTGATCGGGCATTCGCTTACTCGATCAATTGCCATCACAGAATTGTATAACATAATTTATGATTTTAATTTGAAAATCACATTTCTCTCTTTTATGATTACTAATACACGGACATAACATGTGTATCGTGTTCCAATTCATTTGAAATCTTAGGTTTTTTTCTTATCAAACACTCGAACTCTGTCACTGGTATATTAAGAATAGATTGTTTTTAACACCAAGGCAGGCGAGTGTCTAAGAAGGCAGTAAACATATATTCGTTTCTCATACAGAAAATAAGTGACTTTTGATACGTTGTTATGCAACTAGTGCTATACAATATGTATAGCATTCCAAAACACGTGATGCCCTTTAAAAGATCAGGATTATCTGACTTTCGCATGTTATTGATTATAAGCAGATCTTTTTTTTTTTAATTTAATTTTTTTCTCATCTCGTTCCTCCCTCTGACATGGTTGCTTCAATACCCTTTTCAAAAAGAAGTATGGGCAACTTCCTCAGAATTTATTTCACACGAGGTCCATTTCCTAACCGACCATAACTTTATGACCGAATTGCCTAAAGATATCTCAACCTGCAATTTGGACAGGTTTTTTACTGTTTTGGTTCATCTCACTATATGATCAACTCAACTATACCAATGAAATTACATTGACTTCTGTCTGTCAGCAGCGAGACCCGTGCTGTTAAGGCGTTCGTTAAGCTGAATGAAAGTTACAAATAAGTTATCATCGTTCGTCTCAATGGGCGTTATATACTGTTAAGGGCCATCATGGTTTTTGTGCGTAATACATATAATTAAATAAGGGAGATGGCCTTTATCAAGGCAAAACTCTTTTCCCAATCCCAATCGCGTTCATCCTGATAGACCCCGTTTATTCATAACCTAAATTTTGATTCATTGTTTTATGTGTCTTCTTCCAAAGCATTCCAGTTAGTTTTCTCGTCATTTCGGGGCCTTTTATAGCTGACTATGCGGTGTGGGCTTTGCTCATTGTTGAAGGACGTACAGTGACCTATAGTTGTTGTGACATTTGGTCTCTTGTGGAGAGTTGTCTCATTTGCAATCATACCACATCTTCTTATTTTTATATGACATATTTGTCACTGGCCATTAAACAAACAACAATCATGTATCCTTATCGTTTCCCAATAACAAAACTTCGGAATTATACAACTTTCAACAAAATACAACTATTAATAAATGAAAATAATTTAATTTAAATTCTACAAGGGAGTGAACGATCATACATGTATATATGCTCTGCCTTTAGTTTTTATGCAGATGAAATTGGAATAAAATATTGTTAAAAAGGTACAAACCTGTGAAAAAATGTTGCTTACCGTAATTAAGTCAGTTTGAAATGTTTATAAACTCTCTCATTTGAAAATGAACTTTTTTAAAAAGGACTACATATATCCTAACAATTCATCAGACAGTCGTCCTTAAAAGTTACCATAATTTTTTTCAAGTCATATTGGATTTTTATAACATTTTACAGCATAACCAACAGATAGAAAAAAAATTAGACTTTTTTGTTAAAAGAAGCTCAGATACATTTTTGTAGTAAACTATTATTTGATTTTTAAACTTTTTCAAATCTGTGATTTTCATCAAACTTGACAACTATCTCCATTATATACCGTTCTTACAAATGGCAAAGTTCGTTTTCATTTAGGTTTATTGCATTCAAATTAAATGCTTTCAATTTAAATTAATTGGTGAAAAATTAGAATATCTAGTTGGACACTAATAAATTCAGATAAGTCATCTTTTAGAAATCCTATTCTATTTTTTTCAAATCACCTCAGATTTTCACAAAACTTGGCAGCTACATGTATCTCAATTATATACTGTTCTCACAACATGCAAAACCTTACTTCATTTAGATAATTAGCTTTTTAAAGATAAATTATACTGTTTGTTAAGTAGACAATTTATTATTACTAGTATACATTATTGTTTAGGGGCTAGCTGAAGCCCGCCTCCGGGTTCGGGATTTTCTCGCTGTGTTGAAGACTCATTGCTGGTCTTGGGCTTTTTTCTGCTCTTTTGTCGGGTTGTTGTCTCTTTGACACATTCCACGTTTCCATTCTCAATTTTGATTTTATGGATAAGAAACAATTGTTAAAAAATCGTTGAAATAGTTCATGTCCCATACGGACATTATGAATACAAATAGGTTGAGTCCCCCAGTCACAGCAGTGTTTTCCCCCTGAAAAAGTGTTTTCCCCATCACTATACTTAGTAAAAAAATGATTTTGCTCTACCAGATATAAACCGTAAAAATATCTTTGCCGCGTTTTAATTTGCACCAGCCAATCCTCAGATAAATATAGCACGGTCCCTGACATATAACCCTTGTGATGAATTATCATTGATATGGTCATAATTATAAACTAACTGTTGACAAAACTTTGAATTATTCGAAATATTAGGGATTTTCTGCCCCAGGAAAAAGATACCTTAGCTGCATTTGGGCAACTATTTTGGAATTTTGGGTCCTCAATTCTCTTCAACTTCGTTGATTTGGCCTTTTTAATACTTTTTTTATTCGAGCGTTACTGATGAGTCTTTTGTAGACGAAACGAGCGTCTGACGTACAAAGTTTTTATCCTGAGTATTTACAAAATGTCCTTTTTGGTTCGCAGGTAATATCAAGTTATTTATTGTTTAATTTTTCAGAAATATTTATTCACATATTCATCCTCGTTCTAACGCAAGTCAAATATAAAAAATAAAGATGAAAAATATATTAAGTGCATGTTCACTAGAATTTTATGTTGTTCAGTGGTGAATAGATCAACCGCAAAATGTAAACATGGATGTAGGGCGAACTTTGGCGGTTGAGAGAAATTTCGTATAATGACCAAGTTCTGATCCAGGAATTGAAACTGAAAAAAAATACAATTATATATTATTGTTCTGTTCTCGAGTCTTACCGTTAGATGTATATAGTTAAGTTGAAGTACGAAGCATT